TCTTATTGGCCGTTGGGAGGTATGCAGCAGTGAATAAGTGAATCACTGCAGTTGTTAAGCTAATAACATTGTTGTTAAGGGAATCTGGCTTCCCCATTGACTTTCCTGCTCAGAAGGATGCAAAAGGTGAAAAAGTGTGAAAAATGGTCATAAGTCACTTTTTTCAATGCTGTTATAACTTTGAATGGTCACTCAACAAAAGTCAAGAACTACCTATATTCTGTCAGTGCGGCAAAACACATCAGCATACATTTGTTAAATAGTTACTGGATTGTGAAGTAGTCATGAACTGGACCTCGAACAGTGTTCTTCATCTAGTGCCTCTATGTATAATGTAACCACATTTCCCCAGAGGTGGGCTGCTGCTGGTTCATACCAGTTTGGACAAATCAATAGTTAAGATTCTGAGCAGTTCAACGAACTGACAAATCCCACCACTGGCTTGTCTCACCCCTGCTCATTTTCAGCCTGTTTTCCATGCCATTTTGGCCATGGGGCGGCGGCGGCGGGGGGGGGGGAACCAGTCTGAAAACAGGCAGAAAACGGCCTGTTTTGGGGGGCATTTGTGGTTTGAAAAACAGTTCAAAAATCGGCCTGAAAATGGCCAAAAACAGGCCAAAAATGGGCAGGGGTGGGGCCAGCCAATGGTGGGATTAGCCCCAACCAATTGAATCCTACCTCTGCCTTTGAGACGAGTGGCCAAGAGGAGGGACTGAGTTTGATCATTGATGTCACCCACCCAGTCACATGACCAACTGTCTACACCTACCCAGCCAGAGAACTGGTTGTTCAGTATTCAAGTCCCACTACTGCATTTCCCATGTTTCTCATTCAGTAATGGAACTTACATCCACCCTCAAAGTTATGGCCATTGCGGTGCCCCTCCCCCCCACTGTCATATGGTCAGAATTTGGATGCTTGGGAGCTTACCCACACATATGATCTCAAGAGCATTCCTCCATGTCTGCCATGTTGGTTCTTCGCATTCTGAGGCCCCTGCCGCCCTGCATTCCACCACCATACCTGACCTTCACCATCGTCTTGCTACTGCTGCTGCTGAGCGTCTGGCCTTCGGGGGGCAGCTACTGACTGGGTATGGCAGTTCCTAATAAGACCCAAGAAAAACCGTCTTCTGCAGCCAGCAAAAAGTTGTAATACTATAAAAACCCTGGAAACTTTTGAGTTTTCAGAATCATTTGTCATACCCGATAATATCATAGCTCAAGGGAAAGATGTTTGTGGTGGGTGGAAGAAAAGAGAAATGCTTTATTGCATTTACATTTCATCTTAAGGCTAACAAAACTTAAATTCTTTGATTTCAAAACAGCCAAAGTCATCCCTAATCTTGTCCAATGAAGAATTCTGGGCTCAGAAGCTTGTATGTCATTTTGTGTTTTTTGAATCAGCAATAAAATTTTTGCCATTATTTTTGCTATGTACAAAGTGTATTTTCTTATCTTTGCTTTTTTCTGACTTTTAAACAATAATTGCTCCCAAATTTGAATGCTGCCATTTTGATAAATGTCTTGTTTTAAGTTATTCACAGAAGAAAACAATGTTTTGCTTCTTTGGGTCATATTTTAATATAGTTTTTACCCATCATACCTTTTCCTGAATTTTCACATACCTTTTTTTGCCTTCTAGTAATCTGTTTTTAATAGGTTTAGACTTTAACTTTAGTTAAGTGTAATCTATTTCTCTGGAAGCCTGCTGTATTCAGTTTCACCCCAATATGCTTTGTATATTAGGATCGTGTCTTAAAAATCCTTTGCTTGATTGTGGAGTGCAGGGCAGCAGGGGCAACTGGTGCTTTAGGCAATGCTGTTGGAATTGCTGGCTACAGTTTAGGGCTTAAGGTAACATTTCTCAATGGCAGCGGTGGCACTGGGACTGAGACCTGAAGGCATTGATAGGTAGCTGAGACTGCTGAAGGCCCTGGGCCGTCCCATTGTTGCCTCTGCTAAATGCCACTGTGCAGAATGGCCAAAAGATAGATGAGTAGGGGAGATAGGCAAGTGGAAGTTCAAATGCGCCTGAAATTGTAACTGTGGAGGGTCCAAGTTTTGATCAGGTGACCTGTGGCAGTGCTGAAACAGCCATAACTTTGAACATAAGTCATCAAACTCTTCATTCAGAACTATGATAACTTCAAATAATCACTGAGCGAATTGGTCACAAATCAAGGACTACTTGTACACTTGATTTGGATTTAGTAGTTTAGTTTTAAGATTGGTGTTATGCAAGAAGGTGTATTTACAAAATTGTTAACTTGAGTATTTGATATTACCAGCATATTCATGAGAAATAGTGTATCAATTGATAAGTGTTCATTTATTCTTCAAATTGCTATAAAACAATTACAAGCTCATTTATTAAAAATTACCTATATATAAATTGCACTGATATATAAATTGCACTGATTGATGTTTATATGTGCATGTGTATAAAAGTTTTCAGCAACTCATGTTGTTGAAACTAATTGCATAAGGAAAACCAAGAACATATGACCATGCCACACCTCTGCAGATATTTTAACTTAGGAGGATTGCAGATATCATCACACATGCAGGTTCTATCACTAATGTCCTGGGGAACAGATATTTGTGTGTTAACCTACTAAAGAAGATGACTGTTCATAGTATATTTATAGGATTTTTAAATTTTTCTGCTAAATGNTAGTCGTTAACTGAATCAGTGCAGTTGTTAAGTGATTCATGTCATTAAGCGAATCTGCCTTCCTCCGTTGGCTTTGCTTTCCAGAGGCTGCCTGGAACGGTTCCAAGTGGTGACCCCAGGACAGTGCAACTGCCATAAATACAAGTAGTCCTCAATTTATGACCAAACTGAGCCCAACATTTCCGTGGTTTAGGAACAAAGTTGTTAAGTGAGTTTCGCTCCAGTTTACGGCCTTTCTCCCTCACAGTCGTTAAGCGAACCACTGCAGTGGTTAAGTTAGTAACACAGTCGTTAAGTGAATCTGGCTTCCCCATTGACTTTGCTTGTCAGAATATGATCATGTGATTCCCGGGGACACAGTGACCGTCATAAATATGAAACCAGTTGCCGACTGACTAAATTTTGATCACGGGGCCATGGGGATTCTGCAATAAGTCAATTTTTTGCAGTGCCGTTGTAACTTTGAAACATCGCTAAGTGAATGGCTATAAACCGAGGACCACCCAGAATCCCATCAGTTGATGCCAGTTGATTCCCGAAAGGGAGACCGTCTGTGTTTCCAATCGCATAAATAAATCAATAGCTTTGTGGCGTCAAATATTGATGGTTTGTGTGGCTTCCAAACTCCCTGACAATGATTGTGACCCTGGGGATGCTGCAACGGTCATTAAGTGTGAACAACGGGACGATCACTTCTTTTCAGTGCCTTTGTAACTTCTGAACGAACTTGTAAGTTCGTTGCAAGTTGAGGACTGCCTGTATATGTCACAAGCTGGGTTGGGGGGGGGTCTCCCTCCTGCTTCAGGTTCGGAGTGGGTGTCTCAGGTGTTGCAAAGGTGTGGGCGTGTAGGTGCACCCTGCACAAAATCCCCGGGGGTGTGTGTGTGTGTCCATTCTGCACATCGTTTGGAGCCGCCTGAGTCAGCTGCGCCGTGACGAATATTTTGGTTTTTCTCCATTGCAGGCTCTTTGCCAAAGTGGGTAGTGAATAAGTCTTCCCAATTCCTGGCTCCCAAGGTAAGCTGGGATCCCTTTTTCTCTTCTTCCGGCACCTGCCTGGCTCACCTGGGCTCACGGGGGGGGGGGGGGGGGCAGGACTGTTGCAGGGGACATGTCCAGGGAGACTCTCAGCCATCCAGCCCCCAAAGATGCTTTCTGGCTGGAGAATTCTGGGAGTTGAAGTCTTCTTCCTCCTCCTTGGTCATAAGTCGAGGACTACCTGTCACCAGTCATTTAGCCATCTTCCTTAAGAGCCAGTCAAAACTTTCACTATCTTCAGTCAGTTTCACTCCCCAAATCCAAACCAGTTTATATTCCCAGCCCTGGACTCCCTCTCTAACAGCAAAGCCATTTGCCAGCAAAAACCTATTAAAAAACTCTCCTTTGAAGAGCCTCGTCATATCTTTGAAATATTTCTTCTTCTTTTTAATGACGTCAACCTCATTTTAAGATCAAAGCAAACCTCCCGGGCCGTTCACCGGCAGAAGTGAACATGCGAAGTCTTCCTTCCACGCCTGGCATCAATAATTCATCTCCATTTCGACTCCACTTTTCAGATTCCCATAAAAAGGAATCAATAACATCGGAGTCTTGATTGATTAATCCCAAAACCTCCAACCTCTGAAATTATTTCCAGCAACAGCAAGCCCCCCCCCCCCCTTCTCCTATTCTCCTAAGAAGCAAGCGACCAGGAATCAGAGATAAAACTTTTGGAAATCTACAAGAGTCGGTTTTGCAAGATCTATTTACTACCCAGAGTTGCTTTAATGCAAGGGTGGAGAAACGGGGCTTTTCAAAATTTAAATCCCCTCTGAAGTCCAATTGTCTCTTACCCTCACTATCTCATCCCATAAACCAGTGGTTCCAGCACAGCTGGCTGGAGAATTCTGGGAGTTGAAGTCCACAAGTCTTAAAGTTGCCAAGTTTGGGAACCACTGCAGGGTTCTGTTAAGGAAACCATACGATAAACGAGGAAAGACTTAACAAGCTCTTAACCCGAGTGGGAGGGGTTGGACTAGAAGACCTCCCAGGTCCCTTCCAACCCTGCTGTTCTGTATTCTGGCTGCTTCCCCCTCCCTCCCTCCCTGGTGGCTGAGAGATGGCGTTAAGTGCCCTGCTCACAATGGCCAGGAAAACGACCCCATCAGCAAATGCAACCTTAACCTCCAGCTAATGAAAAGGGGAAAAAAAATTAAAAACCCTGCCGGAGAAGCGGACAAAAGGACGAGGCGGCTTTTGTTGTGGGCTTGAAGCGTATCAGTTTTCCAGAGACGGAAAAACCTCTCTCTCCTCTCCAGGGTGGCTTTGTGTACCCCAAACAAAGCCTCTTGGAGAAGGGGAGCGTCGCCTTTCTCTCCCGTGACCGAGACGGGCTCAGCAGCTCTTCGGGTTAGGCCTGGGATTTGCAAAGGCGGCTTGGCCCATTTCGAGCCCTGAGATTTGCAGGGAGTGTTGAATCCTGGGGAGACCCACAGAAAGGGGGCTCCCTGCCCCTCCGTGGATCCAGAGACGGAGGGGGGGAGGGCCCTGGCAGAGTGTGGGGCTGGGGGTGGTGGGGGCTTGTTATGTGGGTGGTGGGGGGCTATGTGTAGGTTCAGATACTGCACACTGCTCAGCAATGACCCCGAGGTGTCAGGTGGAAGGTGTGAGAAGGCATCATTCCATGAGCCAAGGTGGCGCAGTGGTTAAATGCAGCACTGCAGGCTACTGCTAGATCAGCAGGTCAGCGGTTCAAATCTCACCGGCTCAAGGTTGACTCAGNTGAAGTCCGGACATCTTCAAGTTGCCAAGGTTGAGAAACACTGATACAGAGAGAGTATTTAAATAAGGAGATAACTTAGGATAGTGATGTAGAGATAGAATTTCTTGTAAATAGGATTACTACAAAAATGCGTAGACCGATAATGGAAAAGCTGTTACAAGTGTAAATGTGTGTTTTGTGTTTTGTTTTGTTTTCAAATGTTGGAAAATGTAATAAATACTATTTTTTTTTTAAAAGACAGGTGGACTTCAACTCCCAGAATTCCCCCAGCCAGCATGGCATTCTGGGAGTTGAAGTCCACCCATTTTCAAGCAGCCGAGGTTGAGAACAGCTGCCTTAGAGAGAGAAAAGGCTTCCCAGCTGAGCGTTATAGAGGTAGTCCTTGACTTACAGCCATTTCGTTTACTGACCAAGGTTACAGCGGCACTGAATAAAAAGTGACTTATGGCCATTTTTCACACTTAACGACTGTGGCAGCATCCCCGTGGTCATGTCATTAAAATCCAGACGCTCGGCCACTGACTCATATTTATGACGGTCTCAGGGTCACACGATCCCTTTTTACGACCATCTGACAAGCAGTTAGTGGGGAAGCCACAATCTGTTAACAATCCTGTTGATAATTTAATAACTACAATGATTCACTTAACAACAAGAAAGGTGGTAAAACGGGGCTAAATTCATTTACCAACATTTTGGCCTCCATTGTGGGGAAGGCTTGAAGCTCAATTTGTTCTGTTTCTTGCCATAATAAACCCCACTGGTCAAACTTCGGCAACTTGAAGGGCCACCTGAGTCCAGTTTGCAGAAGGCCCCTCCCTCACCTCTGAACAGGTGTGCAAAGCTACAGAGCTGGAAGTTCAACAGACACACAGACAAGCCCCCCCCCCCAATCTCCTAAACCAGCCTCCCAGTTTTAACCCCCATACCAGCAAATTATAGCGAATTAAAATGCTTGCAACGCCTTTCCTGAACCATAACAAGTACGTTTGTAAATCTGTGCCCCTCCTTCCCTCCCTCCCTCCCTCCCTCCCTCTCCCCACATCCAATGGCTTCCTGCCTCAGCAGAGGGACAGTGACTCAGTGTCCAGATCCAGGTTTGCATAGCGACTGCTGACCATGTGGAGAGAGAGAGAGAGAGACAGAATGAGAGAGAGGGAGAGAATGAGAAAAAGAATGAGAGAGAATGAGAGAGAGGATGAGAATGAAAGAACAATGAAAATGAGAGAGAGAGAACAAGAGAGAATGTGTGTGTGTGTGTGAGAGAGAGAGACAGACAGACAGACAGAATGAGAGAGAGAGGGAGAGAATGAGAAAAAGAATGAGAGAGAGGATAAGAATGAAAGAACAATGAAAATGAGAGAGAGAGAACAACAAAGAATGAGAGAGAGAGAGAAGTAGAGAACAAGAGAGAGAATGACAGAGAATGAGAAAAAGAATTAGAGAAAGAGAGGGAATGCTAATGAAAGAAGAGAATGAGAGAGAATGAGAGAGAAAGAGAAAGAGAGAGAGAATGAGAGGGAAACAACAAAAAGAATGAAAGAGAATGAGAGAGAGGATGAGAATGAAAGAACAAGACAATGAGAATGGGAGAGAGAGAGAGAACAAGAGAGAGNAGCAGGTCAGCGGTTCAAATCTCACCGGCTCAAGGTTGACTCAGCCTTCCATCCTTCCGAGGTGGGTGAAATGAGGACCCGGATTGTTGGGGCGATATGCTGACTCTGTAAACCGCTTAGAGAGGGCTGAAAGTCCTATGAAGCGGTATATAAGTCTAACTGCTATTGCTATTGCTATCATTCCATCAGAACAGAGCCAGAAGGGACCTCGGAGGTCTTCTAGTCCAGTGGTTCCCAAACGTGGCAACTTTAAGACTTGTGGACTTCAACTCCCAGAATTCTCCAGCCAGCTCTGCGAGAATTCTGGGAGTTGAAGTCCACAAGTCTTAAAGTTGCCAAGTTTGGGAACCACTGTTCTAGTCTAACCCCCTGCTCAAGCAGGAGACCCCACACCCCCATGATGGTGAACTATGGCACGCGGGCCAGAGGTGGCAGGCAAAGCCCTCTCTGTGGGCACACGGGCCGTTGCCAGCTTCTCTTCTGGCTTCATCTGTGGGGTGGCCAGCTGGTCTTCGTGGGCATCGGAGCACCAGGAAATGGCAAAAAACACGGCTTTTGAGGGGCTCATTTTGGGGACCATTTTCAGGCCATTTATTAGGCTGTTTCTGGCCTTAAAATCCTTCTTCTTTTTCTCCTTCTCGTCCTTCTTTTTCTTCTCCTCCCTCCTCTCCTCCCTTCCCTTTGTTTCTGCCCCTCTCCCCCCCCCTTCCAGGCCATGAAGAAGATGCACAAGGCCTGCGTCAAGTACCCCGACTGGAAGCAGAAGCACAGCCCCCACTTCAAGCCCTGGCTCTACCCGGAGCAGAACGCCTTGCCCAGCCTGGCTCTCTCCGACCTCTCCATCCAGCACGCCGACTCCCTGGAGAACATCGACGAGAGCAGCTTGGCCGAGAGCAAGGAGGAGCGGGCCGAAGGCAGTGATGAGGACAGCCTCAACTGAGGGCCCACCGGCCGGAGGGGGGGGAGAGCGGGGAGAGAGCTGTGCCCCCCCCACTCACTCTGATCCCCCCCCTCTCCACCTGGGCTTCTTTTTCCCTGGGTTTGCAAAGGAGGAAGGGGGGGCGGTCTCATTTAGCGCCGGTCGTAGGACAGGATCGTTTCTCCTGCTCCAGAGGGGGCTGGGGTATCGGTGGCTCCTGGGATGGTTCAGCCAGAGAGCAAAGTTTTCGGCATCTCCTGTGGTCAATTTCCCCTCCGCCCCCCGTCCAGACACCCCCCCCCGCTCGCCCTGCGGCTGGTTTCCTTCCTGGCTTTTTCTGCAACTGCTCCTGGGGGGCTGGGGGGGGAGGAAAGCAGAGAGGAGGGGTCTTTCCACGGGACCCCTGAGCTTTGCACAATGGCAGGTGATCTGGAGGATGGAGGAAGTTTCTTCCCCATGAAGTCATCTGCTGCTCCTTGGAGGGGGCGGGAGTGGGGGGCACTTCCTTGGCAGGGAAAAATCCCCCCCCTCCCGTGCAAAGCCTTTTGCCTTCACTGGGGGGGGCATATAGCAGAAGGCCTCCCCTCACCTCCCAAGCAAGATGAGGAAGGCTGCTGGATTTCCTCCAGTGTCTTTGGCTTCCTCCAGCGTTGGCCAGGGAACCCCTGGGGGGCGTGGGTGGGGGGGCGTTACGAAGCCTTCAGCCGCTTTGGTGTTGAGTTATGGCCGCATCAAAGTGGACGGCAGCATCTGACCCTACCAAACAGCCCCTCCCCACAGGACAAGACACTCCCCCCCCAAACACGCATACACACACACACACACAGCCAAGGCCCCCTGCCCACCATCTCTGGACCCCAGAAGGAGAAGAGTCCCCCCCTCCCCCATGGGTCTCCCCGAGATCCTTAACCCTGGGGTGGGCCCGCCTTTCTTTGGCCTGGCTCCCCCCGGGGGAAAAGGGGCACGGAAAGCCTCCAGAGCTTTGAGGGCACCTTCGCAATTTGTGTCCCGTGGCCCCCTCCCCCCCACTCTCTGTTGGGCCACTGCAACCCGTAGCACATCCCCTTGCTTTCTCACCTCGCAGGTGGTCCTTGACTTACAACGGTTCACTTAGCGACCGAAGTTACAAACAACACTGAGAAACGTGACCCCATGGCCATTTTCCACACTTACGACCGTTACAGCATCCCCCCCGTGATCGGAATTCCGACACTTGGCCACTGACTCATATTTACGACCATCACAGTGTCCCGGGGTGTGTGTGTGTGTGTCACACGATGACCCCCCCTTAGGCGACCTTCTGACAAGCAATGGGGGGGGGGAAAGCTGGACCCACTTAATGGCCGTGTTACTAATTGAACTGCTGCAGTGGTTCGCTTAACAACGGTGGTGAGACCTTTCGTCCAGTGGGGCAAAATCCAACTCAAGGAATGCCTCGCTTTGCAACAGAAATGTTGGGGTCGTAAGTCGGGGACTACTGATGCAAAGATGGGCATGGAGTGTGACTGGAAGGAGAAGGTGGACCCCCCCAACCCTTCTCTGCTTTGATCCCATGGCTCATCTGCCAACATCTGGCTGCCTTCTGCAGCTGCTGTGGCCCCCTGTGAAGTCCTTCAGCTTGGAGGGAAGCCTTCTGCTACTCCGGGGAGGCATCAGCCCCCTGCTTTGACCCTGCTGGGTCTCAGCTGGGCCCCGGGTGGGAACGATGGGACCCCCAAGAAGCAAAAGGTCCTTCTGGACCAGCTCTCGGAGAGTTCTGGAGAAGGAGAGTCCATCCTGTAGAGAAAGTGTGTGTGGGGGGGTCTCCAGCCTTGACGATTTTACGACTTGTGGACTTCAACTCCCAGAATTCCTCAGCCGGCCAAGGTGGGAGACCCCCTGCGGCAGAGGACACCCCCATCGCTTGGCATCCTGGGTGAGACCTCCTTGAGGTCTCCAGGCTCTTGGCCAACGGGCACTTGAAGCCCCCAGGGACGGAGGCACAGTGTTCTGACGGTGGGACCGAGCAGAAGGTGCCACCCGCCTTTTCCGGCTGCCAGGCGGGCCACTCCCAAGGGCAGGGACACCTTGCCACCCTCAACTGGTTGCAACTCTGCCAGGGGTGGGTTCCTGCCGGCATTACTACCGGTTTAGTGCCCAAAAAAAATTTGCTCCACGCACGTGCGCATTTGCACATAAAAAGATTTGCGCATGTGCACACCATTAAAAAAAAAAGGCGGGGGGATTACATTTTTTTCAATGATGATTGTTCTGTGCATGTGCAGAACAGAAAATAAAGATGGCAGCGCCCAGGATGGAACAGGTACGATCACCTGTCCGGCCCAGTTACTACCTATTCAGCCGAACCGGTGTCCACACCTCTGCCCTCTGCTCTTCTTCCTCCCAATGAAAGTGAGCTTGGGTGTGTGTGGATCTGTGTGTCAGCTGATTTGGGGGGGGGATGAGCTGCCTACAAAACAAGGGGGGGTTCCTTCCCATGTTGGGCCAATCCAGGTGGGAAAGGCCAGTTCTCCCTCCAGGTGACGGTTCAGTGAACCTGATTCATTGCTAAAAGCCCCGGGAATCTTCTCTACTCACAGTCAGCACCGGCTAGAGTGGAGGGGATTCAAGGGAAGTTGGCCTTAGTTTGTGGCTATGTCAGGATTCTAGGCTGCTGCCTCTTGTGACGCCGCCCCCAGTTCTGCCCTTCCTTCCCTTAAACCAAGCTTGGAAAGGCAGCTGGGGCAACCGAGAGAACTTTCCCACCTGCTTCCTTCGTTCCGGGATTATTAACGCTCTTTCTGTGCCGGGGGAGAAATTCTTGCCTGGTGGGGGAGCCCCTACCTTGGGGGTCTAGCAGCAGGAGATATGGGGGGGGATGCTTTCCATGAGACCTCTCCTCTCTCCCCCCTCTCTGTCTCTCTTTTTCTCTTTTTCTCTTTTTCTCTCTCACTCTTTCTCTTTCTCCTCTCTCTCCTCTCTCTCTCCTTCTATCTCTCCATCCAACTATCTTTTTCTTTTTTCTCTTTCCCTCTCCCTCCCCCTTTCTCTCTTTCTCATTCTTTCTCTCTCATTCTCTCTCGTTCTATCTCTCCATCCATCCATCTGTCTCTTTTTCTTTTTTCTCTTTCCCTCCCCCCTCTCTTTCTCTCTTTCTCATTCTTCCTCTCTTTCTCATTCTCTCTCGTTCTATCCATCCATCCATCTATCTTTTTCTTTTTTCTCTTTCCCTCCCTCTCTCTTTCCCCTTCTCTTTCCCTTTTTCTCTCTTTCTCTTTCTCTCACTCTCACTGCCCCCTGCCGAGTCTGGAAGGCTAGTGGAGCAAGACAAGTGAGATTTGACTAGCCTTAAACTGTAGGATTGTTAATGTAGCTTTCAGGGGCTGCTTTCCCTATAGCCCCTTTTGCATTTCAGGGGTGGGGGGGGAGGGATTTAAAAGAAAATGGGGGGGGGATAGGATTTCATATCTTGTTACTGGATCATTTGTTTCCAAATAAACAGAGTTCAAATTCTTGGAGTGTCTCACTTGCAAAGGGGTGGAGGCGACAGGCTCTCCTGGAGGATCAGGAGCAAAACGCCCTGCAACGAGTGCCAGGATTCGAACGAGGGCCTTAAAGGAATGGACCAGCAGAGGACAGCCAAGCCCACGGACCCGTCAGTGGGCTTCTCTACCTGATGGAATGAGAGCCTTGGAAGCAGAGGTGGGTTCCTACCAGTTGGCACCTATTCGGTAGAACCGGTTCGTCAAATCTACCGAACCGGTTAGAAGAGGTTCCACCAGTGGACCCGGAAAGCAGGCCACACCTNCACAGGATTGTGGTTGTGGGGAAAACAGGAGGAGGGCGTGTGCGGTATATTGTTTCATTTGAGTTATTTATAAAAATAGTAAAGGCAGGAAAAAAGTTGCTAAATATAAATGAAACATATGATTTTTTTAAAAATAATATCTTCATTAGGTTTCGACATCATACATTGAAGTACAAACTAACATACGAAGGAAAAAGGAAGGAATCACAAAACACATTAAAAGTGGCCACTGAAATACACTAGACAAATATAACAAATGCATTTGTGACTGACTTCTAGTACAGAGATTTTAACAATACAAATATAGCTACATTTAAAGAAATAACACCGATCTGTACAACATTTTAAAATACTGTCAACTTACTAAAAATCAGTATTCATGAAATGTACTTTTTCATGTCATCTAAAAGACCGTTTATTTTAAATATAAGATTATTTGCATCTGATAACCTTTAAAATCCACATTATTTCTTTACTCAGGACCCAACACAATCTTCAAAAAACACCAGGTCAAAAGTTGATTCTTCTCTTCATGCTGTAAGAAATCTATCAAAGGCCACCAGATTGCCTGGCACTTAATCAAATTATTGTCTGAGTAATGCAACTAATTTCCTCATTGCTAGCTGCTTCCATTAATTTCTAACTGCCTTACTTAGCCGTGGAAAATTTAGGCTCAATCGTGGTGATAAGTTGAGGATTCCTCGCGTATTCTTTCCATCTTTGGGCATGTAAACGAACTTGCTGCTGTAGTCATGTATAAAAACAGGCCCTCAGGTATCAGAAAAACAAACGGCAACACAATTTTAATTGTTTGACTGCTCTACAGTTTTGATTTAACAGGATAGCAGAGTTGGAAGGGAAAATAGTTGCAGAGGCGTCGACTGGAGATTTCAGAATAGCAGAGCTGGAAGGGACCTTGGAGGTCTTCTAGTCCAACCCCCTGCTCAAACAGGAGACCGTAGACCGTTCCATACTAATGGCTGTCCAGTCTCTTCTTGAAAGCCTCCAGTGATGAACCACCCATAACTTCTGGTGGCAAGCTGTTCCACCGATTAATCATTCTCATTGTCAGGAAATTCCTCCTTAGTTCAACGTTGCTTCTCTCCTTGATGAGTTTCCATCCGTTGCGTCTTCTCCTGCCTTGGGGGCTTTGGAGAAGAGGTGGACCCCCCCCCTCTTCTTTGTTGGAGCCCCTGAGATATTGGAACGCTGCTGGCATATCTCCCTTGGTCTTTCTTTTCTCTAGACTAGACAATTTCTCCAACCGATATGATTGTAATATAATTGTCATATATTTCAGCCTCCAGTCCCCTAATCCTCTTTCTTGCTCTTCTCTGCACTGGGACGCTGCTATCATGTCTCCCCCTGGTCCTTCTCTTTATTAAACAAGACATCTCCTATTCCTGCAACTGGTTCTCCGTATGATTTAGCCTCCAGCTACCTAATGGAAGTGGTTGCTCTTCTCTGCACTGGGACGCTGCTATCATGTCTCCCCCTGGT